CTACACTGGTGGGGATGTAAACCTGAATACACACCAACTCATGGGGACTTGTGTCACCGTGAGGACCTAAATTGAGGTCCCCATGGGTACAGAAGCTTATGAATCATACAGAATTAGTTTTTTTGAGATTGTAAAAATGCAGAAAGTTTTCTGTGAGGGGTAGGTTTAGGTGTAGGGCGATGGAAAATACAGTTTGTACAGTATAAAAACCATTACGCCTATGGGGAGTCTCTACAAGTCATAGTCAACCAGACGTGTGTGTGTGTGTGTGTGTGTGTGTGTGTGTGTGTAATTATTGGATGCTTCACCTCTAATACATTATTAGCAGGCTCTTCCAGCAGAATGAGTAGAATGTTTTTGTAATGACCTCCCTCGTGGCATCCCTCTCTTTTTTTCATTTGGGTTTTTTTTTTTTTGCATCTGATGCAAATGATGGTGCTGCAGAAAAAGCGCTGAGTCTCCTGGGCTGATTCATGCAATTTGTTAGTGTTACACATTCGATGTGAATCAAGTTTTTATGTGTCTAATCTGTAATCATTAGATGTCTCGTTCTCTATCTCTCCTCTACACTGGGTCACTCGAGGCTTAGTCTATCATCCATTCAGAGTTTTTTGGATCGATGTTCAAAGAGCGGGCTGCCAATGCAGTCATGTGCAGCTCAGGAGAGATTGGAAGTGACTGCAGTGAATTGACGCTAGTTGAAATGACAATGGCCTTTCTATGAGAGTGAATGGAGAGAAATGGAGGGGATCTTAGTTCTGTTATGAGTGGATGTGTGTGTCTGTGTATGTATGTGTGCTTGTATGAAGGAAAGTTACTAACATTTTAATCATTTTATTATTTTATTTATTTTTTGCTCTTTTAATAACATTGTTACTGTATCCGGCTTCATTGAAGTAGAAGATTTACAGTCTGTTAATAGAAAGAAAAACCCATCATATTCTGGGATATGTGGTTGGGAATTTCCACTATGAGCGATACATTTTTCCTCTTTAGAGGAAAAACCAGGATGTCAATATTTCCATGCTCCTTAACTGCCCCGGCATATCTGAGGCCACACACAGAGAGATGCGCACGTGAACTAGGGTTGTGCGATATTGACAAAAAATAATATCTCGATATTTTCTGGGATTTTATCGATGACGATAATTAGACATATAATTAGACATATTTAGATATAGAGATATTTTGCTGAGTGTGTTATTGTGCTGGTACCTTAAGGACTGCCGAAGACCGCTGACTCATAATGTTTTTAATATTCTTCATATTCTGTGTGGTGGTCAGTTCATACTGATAGAAATTAATCTTTTCCAATAAGTTTAAACAGATTTTTACATTTTATGGGCATTTTTACCTTTATAAAGCCATTTTTTCTAGAAGTGTCCATTATCTTTTGAGTCAAAATATTATCGCAGACGATATATATCGCACACCCCTAACGTGAACACATGAATACTCACATTTGTGGCTCTTGCCTGGAGATAATATGAGTAAGTGATGCTATAGCATCATACCACGTGGATGTTGTTGGAGTGTAATTAAGTTTTTGTCTTGCAGTTAGGGGAGAATCTTAAAGGAACACTCCACTATATTTGAAAATAGGCTCATTTTCCAACTCCCCTAGAGTTAAACAGTTGAGTTTTACCGTTTTCGAATCCATC